GGGGGGGGGGTGCTGCACGTGCAAAGGCCCAGGGCTTGGAGAGGGCATAGAACCTGAACTGAAGGTGGCCCGTGGGGGCTCATGTGCAGGAGGACTGAAGACAGGCGCCATGGAGGAGAGGTGGTGGCTACACCTCGACCTGGAGTGTAACCTTTACTCAGGGCAATGGAGATCGCTGGAGGCCAGCACCCAGGATTGGATTTGTGCTTTAGGGGGACCACTCTGCCTGGGGTTCGGCTCAGGGGGAGGCAGGGGGATGACTAACAAGGGGCCTGTAGTGGTTCTGGTGAGTGGAGGTGGTGGCTTACGCCACTCAGTGTCTAGAGATGGGGAAAAGAGGTTTAAAAGATATTTCTGAGGCAGAATTGGCTGGACTTGATGATTCATTGTATTTGAGGGATGAGACAGACAGAGGTCCAAAGAGGGCTCCCGGGTCTTAGGCTTATGATGCTGCTGAGATTGAGGATATAGGAGGAAAGGCAGGTTTATGAAGGGAAGTCAATGAACTGACTTATCCCCTTCCCCCTCCCAGTAGAATAAGAAATGAATCAAATACATGGTGGAGATGAGAGGTGGGAGGCCCCAGCGATGACAGAACAGCCACAGAGGGAGGTGGGCGGGAGGGAAGCTGGTGGGGGGTCGAGGATACCTCTGAGGAGTCTGGTATGGAGACTAGAAAGATATCATTAACCAAAGGAAGAATCAGAGGTCCCAGAGGAAGATGCTGGCCTAGTTTGGGACACCTTGAGTCTTCCAGGGAGACACGCAGGAGGTGGTTAAAGATTTGGACTGGGGGCGGGAAGGGGACCACGGTGGGGCTGGGTGGGGAGTCCGCTCCCCAGGGGTGAGCAGTCATTTTTCTAGAGGTTTGGTATTAGAGTCAGAGACTTCAGGGATCAGCAGAGCCTGTCTTCTCTTGCTGCAGGAGGGAAAATCGATCCCAAAAGGAAGGACTCACTTAGTTCAAAGATCACACAGCTGGTTGCCTGCAGAACCAGGAAACTAACCTAGGCTTCCTGCTTCCCAGGCCTGGTGCCAAGTCAATGAGAAAGGCAAATACTGAAATAGTTTAATTAGTAACAATCACCTTCCTCCCCACCAGTGGCCACTAACAAGTGTCTGCAAGCCCTGAAACCCAGATGAGATGCCAGGGCTGCAGAGAACCCCAGAGACCACCTTGTCCACACCCCCTTACTGGGGAGGCTCAGGGAGGGCGGATGGCTCACCCAAGGCCACAGAGCAAGCAGAGGCAGGGCGTGGCCGGAACCCAGGGTCTAGTCCTGGATTCCTTACCTGCGCACGTGGGAACCTCAGCCAGCACCTTCCCCATGCCATTTCCACTCCAGACCCCACGGCTCCTGGCAGGGCCTCAAGGGCCAGGTGTCCACGGAGCCCCTGTCTCCCCCCAGGTCTGCGGGGCCTGATGATCGCGGTGATCATGGCCGCCCTCATGAGCTCGCTCACCTCCATCTTCAACAGCAGCAGCACCCTGTTCGCCATCGACGTGTGGCAGCGCTTCCATCGGAAGGCAACAGAGCAGGAGCTGATGGTGGTGGGCAGGTGGGTGGCCCATCCTCCGGGGCACCCCTTCCTGTAGGCAGCCCCCTCTCCCCTCTCCTCCCCGCCTGGGCCGCCCTGGGGAGTGTGGCTGGGCCTGGGCCCTGGACTGGCACTCGGAGCTCCTGGTTCTAGTGCCGCTTCCTCCATGACCTCAGGTGAGTCCCTCCCAGCTCTGGACCACTCCTTCCCTCCAGAATGAGAGAAAGTCTCTTCCCTGCCTGTTCAGCTTTCTCTTAAAACTGATCGACAAGGTCAGTGCGAGAGGCTGAGGGAGCGTTCCCGCAATGAAAGGTGAACTGGGCGAGCGGGAAGGAGCTGGCAAGCCGCCCACCCCCAAGGGCTCTCGGACCGGCTGTTATCCAGGATAACAGAACGGCTGCTGACGCTCTCCAGCAGCCTCACCCGGAGCACCCCCGCTTCAGGCCTCTGTGCTGCGGACCCAGGGACCCTGTGCATGGTCCCGCAGCCCCGAGGGTGCGCAGAGTTTAACGAGAAAGGCAAAAAGCACAGGCAATGCAGACGGGGACCTGCATTGATGGAGACGTTTATAGTAAGTTTGTCTCCAAAGGATGCAGAGCCTCAAATGCCAGGCTAAAGAGTTAGAACCTTACCTTGTTGGTATCAGTTTTATGCTTTTCAGGGTACAACTTGGTGGCTAATTTTTCTTTTTCTCCCTTAGGCTGAGGATTTGTGGCTTACACAGAGTTAAGGGGCCCTTTCTGAAATCTTTGCTTCATAACCTGCGGCTCTATAACTCAGGTTTCTGGACTAACGTGTTCATTCTCCCCTTTGGGTAGATGGTGCTTGAGTTCAGACAACTTGCTTTCTTCCACTCCCTGCCCTTGCCTGCACTGTTCCCTCCTCCTGGATGCCTTCTGCCCACAGCTGCCTAATAGATGCCCGCCGCTGGCTCACAGGGGCAGCCAGCCCTACGCACAGGGGCTGGGAGGCTCTAGATGCAGGACAGATGGTACAAGGATAAGGGGGAGGGAAGCTGCTGCTTTAGGGGGGCCTGAGAGAGAAAATGGGAGGGAAAGGAGAGGAGAGGACAGGCACAGGTATGCAGAGACATTTCTAAAACAGTGTCCTTTGGTACTTACACACTGAGCGGCCTGGTTTGACACTTAATCAACCAGTGGAGTTTTGTTGCCATCTGCTGGCCACATGCATTATTGCACCCAGCTCACGCACGCGCCTGGTCACACATCAAAAGCATACATAGCATTTTGGGGACCTGGGCCTGAGCCAGGATCAGTTGTGGGAGAGTCAGGATACGAAGGTGGATTCTATTCTCTGAGCTAAATGGCAACATAATGTTTAAAGGCTTAGAGCTGGAGAAGCCTAGAGAAGGGAGTAGTCCTGGGAGTTTGGAGCCATCCTGGGGAAGGGAGGTGCCCTGCACAGGGTTTGGGTGAAAAAGAGAAAGAAAGACATCCCAAGCAAAGACCAGAGGCCATTTACTGGTGGTGGGGTGAAATGCAAGGATTCCTTTCTAAAGAGCAGGCGAGCTACATGACAAGGCATCTAATTTAAAAATCCTTGTTCTCTTAGATTCTAGAATTCTGATATTCTGGGATTTTAAGAGTATAAATTTCTGGAATCTTAGCATTTGGGATGCTGATCTCCTAACATTCTCTGATTCAGCAACCATGCATTTCCCTTCTCTCCTTTCCTGGTTCCCAAGCACCACCTTCACCCCACCCCACGCCCCGTCACCCTGAGTGCTCCTCACAGCTCCCTGTGCCCTCCTGGCAGAGTGTTTGTGGTGGTCCTGGTCGTCATCAGCATCCTCTGGATCCCCATCATCCAAAGCTCCAACAGTGGCCAGCTCTTTGACTACATCCAGTCTGTCACCAGCTATCTGGCGCCACCCGTCACCGCCCTCTTCCTGCTGGCCATCTTCTGCAAGAGGGTGACAGAGCCTGTGAGTACCACAGTCATCACAGGTCAGGAGAGCTGGTCTGGCCAAACCCTGGACTCTCTGCGACCTGCTCTGTGACGAAACTGACTGCCCTTCTCCCCATCCATAGCATCAGGTCTAGATTCATTCATTCACTCAACAAACATTTATCAGTCTTATCATGAAGGTTTGGGGATGCCATGTTTACAAGATTCATATAGGCCTGTCACCACTGGGCCACCTGGGAGGAAATATAATTCAATAAGCAATAAAAAGAAAGAATAATGGCTGCTAGGAGAGTAAAGAACAGGAACATCTAACCTATGAGACACCTGGGAGGGGTCAGGGAAGCCTTCCTGGAAGAAGAAACATCTTAGCTGAGACATGAAGGATTAATGGGAGGGGGGAGAGTATTTCAGATACAAGGAACAGTGTGTGAAAGCTCAATTCAGACCAGAAGATCTCTAGGGTCTGCTTTATCTATAACACTGTAAGGTTTTATATTAGGCAAAAAAATAGCAATGATGATGATGAAATGAAGTGTGAACTTGCAGGATGGCACATGTGTCATTCATGAAACTGCACGGAAATCTAACAGAAGCCAGGGAGGAATTCAAGGTAGGAGGACTGTAACACTGGTCACTCCCCAGAACAGCCTAGAAAAGGCCCAGATCTGCTGGAGGGAAGGGACTTTATGGACAGGACTCCACAGGAGCCACGTGAGAGCTTAAGGTCATCGCCTATCCCAATGGACAAGGGAGCAAGATGTCCACAGATGCCTCCTGTTTGCAGAGATCCAATCTCCCTGCTGATAACCACAGTGCACAGCAAATCTCATTTGAGCTCTGGGTGTTTCTGCTCATTCCAGAACTTTTGAAATTGGGTTTAGCATCTCGGTTTTAAAAACACAAGTCATCTGACTCTTACCTAAGGAAACAGGTACAGGTTAGGGTTGAACAGTGCTGTAAAGACGACTTGGGAGATGCCAGAGCTTTCTTCTGTTAAAAAAAAAAAAAGGCAAAAGACAGGGAAAAAAATAGAAGCAGCAAAAGGGAGATGTCTACACTGATTTCCAATTTATCATAACAGAAAGTTGGAAACGGAGATCCTGGTGTTTGTGCTTATTACGAAAGCATGTTCCATTCCTGCTGAACAGCAAGCATCTATACAGAGTAGTTAGTAGTTTCTCCTCTCATTGCACCTGAGAAAACTCCGAGTCAGCAGGGTTGAGCCCCTGCATCGGCTGCTCTGGAGTGGAGCCGGGTCCAAATCCTGCTCCATCCGACCCTGGAGCCTGTGTTATTTCCAACACTCCACTCTGCCTGCCTTCATCTTAGGAAAAAACCCTCAGCATTAACAGGGAGTTCACGCCGACAAAATTGCAAACACTGTAAGCAACCGGGGGAGACAGGTTTGGGGGCAGAGTAGCTTTACCTTCCCAGGGCCTCCCACCTAGACCTCACCCCTACTTGGTCTGCCCTCTCCCCACAGGGAGCCTTCTGGGGCCTCATGTTCGGCCTGGCAGTGGGGGTGCTGCGCATGATCCTGGAGTTCTCGTACCCAGCCCCAGCCTGTGGGGAGGTGGACCGGAGGCCGGCCGTGCTCAAGGACTTCCACTACCTCTACTTCGCCCTTGTCCTCTGCTGCCTCACTGCCATCGTCATCGTCACTGTCAGTCTCTGTACAACCCCCATCCCTGAGGAAAAGGTAAGTTGAGTGCTCATGATGATTCCCCCAGTGCCCCCCTGTCCCCACCACCGAGTTTCACTCCACTGGGTTATGGTCTCACCTGTGCCATACAGATGTCCCGGGGAGGGGGAGCTCACTGGTTATCAATTCCAGTCTCCAAGGGCGGGCTGAGCACAGAGGAGAGGCAGTGACCCCTGGGGGCTGGGAGGGTCCCCTGATAAGGTCACTTTGAGTTGGACCTAGAAGAATGGGTAGGGATTGGTTGAGTTGTCAAGAAATAATATATGAGAAAAGAAACAGCGTGCCCCACAGTAAGAGCTTATTGGGGGTCCTCGCCTCCCCCGGGCTGATGATTTAGTAGTACTTGGACACGAGGCCCAGTCTTTTGAAACCTAATAAGAGCCAGGCCCCCACCTCCCAGCCCTGCGCTTGCTCCTGGCCGCCTCCCATGATGGGCTCCTCTTCACCTGCAGCGTGACTTCCCTTCAGAGGGAACTGAGTCAAGACACCGTTTTCTTTCCCCCCAGCTTGTTCGCCTGACGTGGTGGACACGGAACCACCCCCAATCTGAGCTGGAAAAGGAAGCCCAGGAGGGAACACAGGCGACATCGGAGATGCCACCTGGGGCGCACCCTGCAGGAGGCGGAGGGGCCGAGAACTCCAGCCAGGGCCCGGGGCATGGAGGTAGGCGGAGGGTGTGCTGGGGTGTATGTATATCACAGAGGAGTGATCGGACACTGGGTCGTAGGTCCCCAAGACCCCACTGGGGGTCACTGGGGATGGGTCCCTGTAGAAATCCAAAAAATATCCTCCCTCTCTCCCCACATGGCTGAGAAACTATTTGAGGAGTAAGACAAACAAGTAAGGCAGGTGGGAGCTAGGACATGGCCCTCGTTACTGGAGAAGTGTAGGTGGAAAGGTCTGGTTTATATCCACGGAAAGGTGCCCTTGCTAATGCCGAAGCCCAGCATTAGATAGAGGGGCCCACGAGTCACCGACCGTGTGCACTGCCTGCGGAGGCGGCGGGAGGGACTGAGCCAAGCGCCCCTCCTCCTTCCCAACCCACCCCAGGGAGGCCCTTCCCTCTCCCGGGCTGAGTGAACCTCAGGGCAGGGAAGCAAAGGGTGATGCACTGAGTCCCACCCACGGGAAGGAAACATCACGTACGGCAAAGAAACAGTCGTCCCCCCCATATGTTATTTATTTCCCACTGGGCTTCATAATCTGCCTGGAGTCTCACACAGGTGGTCGTCCTTCCCAGGACGAGAGCAGACGTGTCCTTACGGTACCGTTTGTTCACGAGGCTCCTCCAGAGCAATCCCCACTCCTAGCAGCGTGTCCCTGAGCTGCTGGTAGACCATGTAAATACCGCTTCCCAGAGCTTAAAAAACAAACCGGAGGACAGCAGAGCAGACCAGAAAGAAGTGTGTACATCCCGGGTTGTAGGCCGGTCCTCTCCGGAGTCGTTGCTCTCCAAGAACTACCTGCGTGACTGAGCGCGCTGGGCCAGCCTGGGAACTGATAGCGCTTAGTGCAGTCGGGAGCCGGGTCCCTGTCATTACTGTCCCCGCAGCTTTGCGGCTGTGTGACCTTAAGCAGGTCGCTCCCCCTCTTGAGTCTTTTCCCTCCTCTGCGTAGCAAGGGAGTCAGACTGGACAGCACTGGGGGGCTCCGTATCCCCGAGACTCTACAGTCACATCGGGCTAACCAAGCAACAGGTTCCAAAGCCATTCAGACCATAAAGTGTTTCCAGCGGGTCATATTCAACTTCAGCGACAGGCTTTTTATTCAGATATTATTTTAATATACTAATTGCTAATCCAAAAGAACTTTGAAAATATTTATTCTTTTAAATATTTATTAGTTCTTTTAAACTTAGTTTTTAATGAATTGTGCTCCCTTCTAACCTCAGAGCGAGCCCCTTCTCCATGTGGGGGACGCTGTGCCCACGCGGCAGAGTCTCGGGCACACTCGGAACATTCCTTCCCCAGACCCCTCAGAACCTGTCCCCACTGCCCAGCACTGTGACGCTAGGGGTCGGCAAGCCTACGTTCTCACACGATGAACAGAACCGCCTGCAGAACAGGGCTCACTCCAGTGACTTATCGGGGAGGGGAAGACCCTGAGCTCGGAGAAGCTGAGTGATTTGCGTGTGGCCTCAGTTAGATGATGGAAAGCCGGCCCTGGAACAGGGCTCCCAGCCAGTGCCCTTCCCGCAGCATCGCCTCAGCCCGCCTGGCTCACTGCCGCCTCCTTCCTGGGCGAGGTCATGCTCCCCACTGCGTCCTCATGTGGGCGTGTGACCCGGATGGGGATGAACAGCATTCTTGTCACCCCTTAACACACACAG